ATTGTACTGTGCGACTCTATATTCTGTATGTATAAATAGCGATCTGATGTATCTGGAATATAAGTGATTTTGGGATGACGTTGCAGTGCTAATCCGTAAAAAGGAAAGACACACTCCCGCCAGACTGAAACCTCTTCGCTAGCAGCCATTCGGGCCCGGCACTTGTGAGTATAGGAACATTGTGTTCTGCTCCTTGTGACTGCGAGAAGTATATCCAGTTGTTGGGTATCCTTCGAACTTAGGATCAGTTGTTGGTCTTAAGGGCAAATCACGCTGTGTGGTTGTGCCAGCACATAGTTCTAGCCCTCCGTAGGGGTCTGTGTGTTTTGGTTTTAATTTACTTTGATTCAAACCCCCAATTCTTGATATACCCAAATCAATATAACCCAAGCACGAATTGTGCTGAACCTACCTTGATCAAAGGAATATACCGAATCCTTAGAACGATTCAAATTGATTGATCAAAGCTTCTTACTTAGCTCTCAAAGCTTTGCGGAACCTTTGCCAACGCTACCCCTTGCTATTAAATAAATTTGATAGCAGTGAACTCGCATATTGTGTATTAGATTGGTTGGTTGGAGTGCACATTAGATTCCTTCCTTTCTCTTTCACACAAAAACGAGGCAAGCTCGTTAGCGGTTTCATCCCCAAACGACTGTTCTGGGATGGACATCAGGCGTTGACCAGCTGCCACCGTGATAACAGTGGAGCTAGCAGCCTGGTTCGACTTTTGAGCTTGTGTCGTGTTTCCACAAGATAGGGCGCTCTTTTGTTTCTTTGATTCGATCTTGGAACTAGAAGGTCATTCCGTTGACGTCGCCGACATTTTGTTGCGACGAGTCCGTTCGGTGATGGGAGAGCTTGGTATAATGTAAGACCTGGGTCAGAATAGGTCTTAGGGTAGGTTTTTGGTACGATGAGTTTATGTTGTAGCGTGCTAGGAGCAGGCTGGAGCTCAAAGGGAGCTACGGAAACCGCGACCGAGGACGGGAATGACCTAGTGATGGCTAGAGTTGGGAGGTGTGACCCTTGAAGAGGTTCCTGTAAGGTCCAAGGAGGTCCCTAAGGCGTAGGTAGCAGAGGTGGAGGTACGGAACCTAGTAGCGTTGCGTAGGAGGAGTTGTACTCGCTAGAACGTCAACGTAGTATTGAATAGGTCGTAGAGAGAATAGGTATAGAGTGTGTGAGCTCCTAAGGATGTATACGCCCGGGGTGATAGGTTCCCGGGGACCGAACTCGAAGATGGTCGTCCTCGAGTGTGGGAGGTCGTAACGGAGAAGCGATACGTCGTTCGACGTAAGAAGTAGCTTCGACGTTACCTAGATTGAGATCCCGAAGCTTGGGGAGCAATGGGGGAGCTCAAGTAGGTATTGGGGAGGTTGGCTCTCCAAAGCGTTAGGCGTTGGGGAGCTTTAGTATTGTTCGAGGGAGCTCGAAGACTCACTCGGGTTACTTAGACGTGAAGTAAAAGCGTATATTGGATCGTGTAGATGATCGTCAAAACCGTAGACAAGAATAGAGAGAAACAGAGATTGAGAAACAGAGAGTAGAGAGAATTCCATATAGTTAGCAGGTACAAAGGGACAGGGACTGGACCTATGTAAAGGGTGTGTGTTCAAAATATACCAAGCTGGCACTTGGGGACGTTGCGGAGCTACTTAAATAGGTACGGGAAGTGAACAAGGGAACATCAGAATCTAGGTAACATGAGGCAGATAATCGAGAGAGGCAGGTGGTCGAGATTGGTACTTGATGGGGCTGTTGTAGGAGGGTTTTGTACGCGTGTCGGGATGGTTGTCAGGACGTTTTCAGGGGGGTGGTTGTACTGTCTTGGGGAGGTGCATATTGCCTCAGGGGTGTCTTGGGGAGGTGCAAAGAGAATCAGGAATGTGAGAACGTGTGGGCTGGTGCTGGGGTTAGTTGGATTGCTATCAGGGCATGACACTTACCCTGCAGGTACTACATGTATAGCTCCTAGTAGTTAGTCTGGTGTTCCGCTCCGATATGCCAATCTGTAGATATAAATACTGCCTGTATACTACAGTAGTTCCTCAGTTTAATTATCATCTTAGATCAACTCAGATCTCCTCTTCTTCTCAGTCACTCTCTAAGTCTTCAAGCTCGTCACCTTGAAGTACTTGCTACTCTAGCCTTAGGACTTATAAGTTCTTTGGTTCGCTCCTCGTCACCAGCGATACTGCTGCTCCAACTTGGCTGCTCCTGGTTTCTCTCTTTTCTATTCTCAATCTCTGGGGACTAATGGCGTAACGGCGGTGTTGTTAATAACTTCACTACTGTCCCATTCAACCCTCCGCCCTTTGACACCTTGTAGCCCCTGGCACAGTTACTCAGTGTACATGATCTTAACAGTGTGCAGGCCAATATACCAATTGTTTTCAAAGATTATTGCACACATTACATGAAGTTCTATGGCAAACAGGTAGACTATACTTCAATGACTTCGCATTGTATTAATGTCCCTGCAACAGGGTTTGCGCATTTGAATTTTGTTCAGTAAAACAGTGTTGGATTTTCCAATGATTTTGGGCTTTGGAGACATGTTGAGATGCAGCTTTGTCAATGGAAGAGGGCTGTATGTGGGTTACCCAGACAATGTCACTGAAAAAAAGGTGGTGATTGGACACAAGGGCCCATATGTGATGCCTCCCCTCCATGGGCAGAGAGATTTTTGTAGATCAAGTGTGGATGATGAGATTTCTAAAAGTGCCAATTGTGGCTGGCATTGCAATGGATTGTGGCACACATTCATGGATGCTGGTTCAGCAAGGCATTTATGGTGCAGTGAAATGGTTGAAGATGAAGGACCGGACAAAGAGGTTGTTCTTTGGCAGTGGAATACTGGGAGTCTGCGTAAAAAGCCTGAATGCTCTTGATTTAACGTATGCACTGATTTTAGAGCTTCTGTATATATGTAGCATAATACTGACTACTCAGCTTGATATCAATGATGAACATTGTGACCCAAGCGAGGTGCAGTCCATGACAGTGGAGCCTAGTTCACCGTAAGTTTCTCATAAGCCACAAAAACTTATGATAATTTGCACCCTGTGTAAGAAGAGGGTTGTTTGTATTATTAGTATTATTATTGTTGTTGTTGTTAGTGGTAGATTGAAGAATCACCTCTCTGTCTTTATCCGCAGATACATCTGACCATTTAAAATCTCCTTGTCCGCCTCTGGTGCCTCCGCGGATGGGTTCGAACATCGTGTTGGGTTACTGAAATGTGATTTTAGGGTTGGGGTTTACAAAGCTTCCCTGCACGTGGTTATTATTATTTTAATTTTTTTCGCTTCTCCTCGTCGACCCGGCAGCCAGGTCGCTATCTTTGCGAATCCTATCTAGATCTACTATCCTGCCACGACTCGGGAGTGTTTTCTCAATATCTTGATACTAGTACTACCACGAGGAACCAACGGAGAAGGCAGAGAACAACTCGAAGAAATACAGAATATAAGCTCAGGAAAAGCGTGAACCACAAAAAGATGAACGTGAACTCACGCCGTTTAGTCAGTATCGGCGCTGAACGCGTATCACACGTCTCCAATACCGAGTTTCCTGGACATTACCCCGGCGAAGACCATAGTTGGAATTTAGATTCCTTCAAAAAGGTGCGTTCCTCCTCTCCCTAACACACACCCCCCTCTCCTGCTAAATAACCCCCCTTTGGTGCCAGCTCAGAACCTCACAGTACGCACCCACCGACTCTCTCAACGGTCTATCGAATTCGACATCATCGGCATCGACGCCAGCATCGCGAATGCGTTCCGCCGTATAATGATAGCAGAGGTACCGACGATAGCGATTGACCAGGTGTATGTGTTCGATAACACATCGGTGATACATGATGAGGTGCTTGCGCATAGAATTGGGCTGGTGCCGTTGAATGTCGATCCGCGGACGATGGATGGGTGGGACGGCGAGGGGGATACACCGACGGATAGGAATACGTTGGAGTTTAGGGTGAATGTCCGGTGTTCGTTTAATCCCGAGTATCACAACAACACGGATAAAAAAGGGAAATCGTCTACGACTACTACTACTACTTCTGGTTCGCCGGTTCAGGGTTTATCAGACGACAAGTTATACACCAACTACCTTTTTTTGTCAAAACATTTCGAATGGAACCCCGCCGGTGAACAGCTTGATAAAATCAAACCCGTGGTGCTCACCCCCCCGGATCCCCTCTATCCCACGTATAACGATCTCAAGCTTCCGCCACTCGGCGCACTCAACCCCGAAGTCGTGTTAGCCAAGCTTCGTCCGGGGCAAGCCGTGGAGATGGTGCTGCACGCACGGAAGGGGGTGGGCAAAGACCACGCTAAATGGAGCCCGGTGGCTACGGCTTCGTATCGTCTCCATCCGAATATCGTGATCACGAAACCGATTAGGATGGAGAGAGCGGAGGATTTTAGAGCGTGTTTCGCGGATGGGGTTGTGGTGGTTGATAAAAAGAAAGGTTCGTTCGTTGAATCATTATCTCATTATCATTATTCATTGTAGTCGTTTACTGATTCTTCCCTCCCCCACCTTTATAGGCACCGTCTCCATCTCCCCCACCCACATGCGCAACGACACCGTCTCTCGCGAGGTCCTCCGGGATCCTGAATTCCGAGACTCCGTCGAGCTCAGCAGGATCCGCGATCATTTCATCTTCGAGGTCGAGTCGGAGTCGGCGTATAGACCGGAGGAGTTGTTGGGCGAAGCCATCGGGGTGATGAGGGATAAGATTGCGAGAATGAGGGAGGCGGCGGTGGCGTTGCTTGGGAGTGAACAGACTGAGCCTGAGGAAAGAGAGGATGGGGATGTACTTATGCAGGAGGTGGTGTAGAGCTTCGATGTGTGTAGTGTTGTAGAAGATTTAATTTTCGAAGGCTATGGAAATAAGTGTCAGGGTTTGTACCAATACAATGCCTTCTTCATTCATTTATTACGCACTAAGCTCACAGCTTGTGCATTGAAAAAAATGGCATTACCGTATCTGCATTAAGGGGGAATCGAACCCCCGGCGGGTCGAGATGCAATCAAGGCACAGATTCTATGGCAACGACCCAGGTTACCACTACCCCATTAATGCATACTTTTGAATTGCCCGTATTATTTCAGAAAAAGCACACCTCAAAATAATCATCCGACGAGGACAAACGGCCTTCGTTCGTCGTTCGTAGTACAGATGTCCACTTAAATTGTTTTACACCGTGACCAACCTCTTTCTATATTTGCAAATGTACATTATGTAAAACCATCACATGGGCAAAGCCAAGTTGTCCCAGTCAATCAAACCTTCCGACCTCCCTGAGGGAACCCTCCGAAATTCGGTGTCTCCCAATCACTCGAATTGAGGTCGGTAATGAATCTCTTGGTATTCCGATTCGGTGTCATTTGGACAAGGTGCTGTTGCGCTCCTTGGAGAGTACTAGGGACGGGGGTCGGTTGACCTAGTGATCGACTTTGAGAAAGTTCAGTAGCGTCATTGCTCCGCTCGTTCTCTTCACCCATGGATAAAGATTGCATCGAACGAGACAAGGTACTTATGGGAAAATCAGTAACGATGCACCCAATGCAAAGGATCCGCGATCAGTAGCATAGTACTCACTGTATCTCATGTTTCCTCTCATTACACCACTGCCTACAAGCGTCCTTGAATTGCAACAAAATTGCACTGAGATCATTGTAGAACTGTAGTGTGTGATGGTGAAGAGCGGTCAGAAAAAAACAAACATGAGAATAAAAGGTCGAGAAAAATGAGCATGTGAACGCACATTGACACCCTCCTCGAGATTCTGCATGATTTCCTTGTATTTATAATACGAAAGATCCAGAGATTGAAGAGCCTGTTCTCGTGCTTTGACGGATTCGGAACTTTTTCGTGATTGAAGAAACAGCTCGTTCTCGGTCTGTGGAGGGGGAAATGTATAAGCAATAACTCCGGAAGACTCGACATTCGACATAGAACTTGACAATGACAAGAAAAAAACTTGCCTTGATAGATCCAAGTATCTCCTCCTGTTTCCCCTCCAAGTCCCTCATCCACTGTATGAACTTGTCGTATTTCGCCAACTCGTTATTAGATATATCTTCGAACATCGCTGGATGTGTGGTGTGTTTCTGCGTCGCCCCGGAGTAAGGTGTCCCAGTGCTTTCAGCGGTCTCCAGGCCCAAGCGCTCGAACCCCGCTGCGGCTTTGACAATTCGAGGTTGGATATCATCTGCCTCACCGAGGGCTGATGCGCGTCTGATCAGATTATCTCGGTCTGTGTAAAGTTCAGAGAGGGACTCCAGGAGAGAACGGAGGGCTCGGGCGTGTTTGTCTGTAGACAAGGTGGAAGAGGAGGAAGGATACGATGAGGTTGATAATGTCGAAGAGGGAATAGATGCCTCCAGATCAGCCTACGCAAATATTTTTATTTCGTTTTTTTAGTTTTGATGTACTGTAAGGGACAAAAGAGAACAAACATACCTCATCCCAAGTCAACTCTGTTATATTCCTCTCCCATTGATCCCATTTTGTGCGAATGGTCTCATCACCAGTCGCTGCCTGGTCCAGAATCGTCCTGTACCTTCGTTCCTTGTCAGCCAAATGCACGTTGGCTTCGTGCGAAGGGGGTCGGGTGAAAGGTATCGGTAGGGTTTCCCTGGTAGATTCGTCCTCGGAAGCTTCTTGGTCGAGGATATCCATAGCCTGCATTGGGGTGGAATTGGGAGCGATGATTCATTGAGTGTCCGTTGAATCAATTCGAACGCGCAATTAAAGCGTCATGCATACCTCATTCAAGAACTTATAATTCTGTCGAGAAAGCTTATACAGGTCCTCGATAGCTGCTTCGATCTTGGCTGGACCATTTTCTAAACGCACTTCTTCAGCCTTTTTGAGGAAACTAGGGGGGAGTCCGACGGGTCGTTCGAGCGCTTCGAGAGATGCGGGTAGGTTGAGGGATTGTAAAAGTCTGCGATAGGTAAGAGGATGCAATAAGAATGGTATAAAAGGATCGTTGAGATTTGGATCAAACGTACCGTTCAGCTGCGATCTTCGACTCTTTCGCTGGTCCGACGAGTTCTTCCTGGATGAGATTCTTCTTTCGGTCGTTGTATATATCTAAAAACCGAATCAGAAAAAAGTTTGTCTGAGAGCGATACATACAATGAACTTGAAGAAAATTACTACTTACTGATTGCCTCCCTGGTGCCCCATCCCATTAAGCTCGAAAACACCATTTGATTAAGAGGAACGAGGATGGTCGGGTCGCTTAGTTCTTTGGGTGTTACGGCTTGGGCGACAGTTGCTTGTTGGATCGCGGGTAGGGTGGATCCGGTGGGGACATCTTGGTGGTATATGAGGTCGTTGTCACGTTCTGCGCGGAATAACTCTTTTTTGATGATTTCTAGGAAGGACTACACAGTCGAGGAACAAATAATGTGTGAGTACAGTTGGAATGAGATGAGAATACGGGAAAGCATGAGAAGACATGAACAAGGCGAACCTGTATATCATTGAGTATGGCAGGTAAGACTCTTCCTTTTCTGGCAACGTCGTATCCTTTCTTCGCTGCTAATTGGGCTTGAGTCAAATAAGCGATTTCAAAACCGTATCTAAATAGAGAAGCATGGGAAATAATATGTAAATGTCAAATTTTCCACGGGAGAAAGAGAAACCAGGAATTTGTTTGTTCTGCTTTCTTACCTGCTTTTTTCCAACTCCTCCCGACTCCTACGAAATTGCGCGACAGCTTCGAAATGGTGTTGCTTCACTTCGATGTGAGATAGCCAATCCTGTTTATGAGGATTGAAATTCAGCATTCTCGTTCCTTGTTCAACTCGACTAACTGAGGGATATATATGCTTGATAGGCGGTTCAGCTTCAAGGATGATGGTGAGGGATTTCTTGTACATGTACATAGTCTGTTGTATGAGTAAGAGTCAGGTCATTTTGATCGATACCAAGAAAATTTGAGGAAAGATTGATAAACTCACAGCTCCCGCAAGCTTTGAAACTAATCCGTTTTTAAGATTATCTATACCCTTGGTGGGGACGTTTCAGACACAAGCAATTGTAGTAGGGCGACCACGGTAGGAAAGGGTCTCTACTTTCACTGACCAAGTTTAGCTTTTTGCCAGAAACATTCCTGCGCTTGTGCTAGATTGAGGAATTCCATCGCGTGGACGAATAACCGAGAGAGATCCAGAGGTGGGTGTTCTTGGTCTGGTGGGATTGAGAAGTGGGGAAGAATGGAGGTTTGCAGATACGAAAAAACTCCGGAGGCATTCTGTGGTGAGGGATAAAAAACGGAAAGCAGATAAGTTGGGTGGCGATCGGTGAGAGTACCAAGTACTGACTTGAAAGAAGGCAGCGGCGCGTTTGATTCCGTCTACATTTGACCGGTCCTCAGAAGCTGCGAGTTGGGAGTATAAGGAACCTAGGTTGAATACCACTGCTGCTCGCTCGAACATAAGACTCCGCATGGTTACTGGAACCACAGAGGGTGAGAATAAGGGTGCATATAATATTTCTAGTTGCATCTAAATCAGATATAGCGCAATGAGCAGCCAATATTTCATTCTTGGGAGCCACAAGAGCCCAAACTTCAAACTTACATCGACAGGGAACTTTGTCAAAACCGAAGTAAGTTGTGCATGATAACTGTTCGTGGGATTCACAAAAGACGAGATCAGCGAGATCAGCGGACACTAGCAAGCATAAACCCGCCTCATAAGATCCGTAAGTCGATTCGCATGCACTTCCAAGCTCACGATCTTCTGCCTCATTTCCTGCCATTGTTTAATGTCGGCTTTGACAGCATCCGGGTGTGTGTCTCCATTATCTGAAAGGTATGTGCGCGCGGCACCTGCGACGTCGACTTGATAGGTTTTCTTAAATGGGACAGCAAGTAGATTAGACATGCGATAGAGAAACTTTGAGAAATGAGGGTGGAAGTAACAAACAAACGGAGGGCCGGAACAGGTCACGTTTTAGTACTGTGACGCGAGTCAGGGCCGCCGCATCGACAAAACAACGGATCGCCACGCTTTCGCTTTTCGACTCAGATTCATTATTCTGGTTCAGCATGGCACATACTCATCACTTCGATTTATACGACTGGTCTCCGAGTCGAAAAGCAGGCAATACTCCTGGGTAGAAGTCTCGCTGTCATGAGCGCCACTAACAAACTCCCCACCTGCGTCAGTCAGAATCAAATTCAGGGATTTGAACAAGAAGTTATCTAGCCCAGCGACTCGACAGCAATCCGGGTCTCCGAAAACAAACTAAAGATGCCTCTTGATCTACGAAGTCAGAAACTCCAGTACATTGCCTAAGCAAACATCCTTCGTTTGATTTCGACCAATTTACTCTTCACAGAAAAGATCCTATGAGAAGAATTACTGAGTGTGACTTCTGGAATCTGTATCGTTGGGATTCACTTCCTTGTTCGCTGTGGTTGAAGATAGGGCCGGGTGCTCAACCCACCTCTTTCCCATATGGTACCCTAGCATCCCAGACCCTCTATCACACAGTTGACGCTGGAGTTATGAATCAGTTCATATTGATTGCTCTGGTGTAAACACAGAAGGGAATCCAGTCATTTCAACTCATGAGGGATTTGAGACATAAGGAATGTATACTAATCATAACCAGTAGCCTCAATCTTATGGCTCGATCAAAGAGGAGGAGGAGGAAGAACCGATTCATCCTGCATCATGTTGGGCCTAACAAGATTGATCTGGCCTTTCAAATGCAGGCCCACAGCGACCTGTTGAGCTGTAGATTAAGATAGGGATCTTGATATTCGATTTGTTTTGAACCAACGAGAATTCTTTGTGTCAATAATACTAGTGTTGCTCACACATATTGTACTGATATGGCTATTAGCTGCTGTCGACCCCCGGCCGTATGAATTTTGTTCTCACAGAGATGCAGAAATCTGGTGATTGTACCACATCGAGGCCATACAGCAGTGTCCTCGATATGCAATGATATGCCTATTTTGAGTACTAATTGGAACGATGGCAATGGCACTGCCAAGCGCTAAGGGAGACGGTACCAGTGGCTGTGCTAGTCAGATGCCGAGCGGAGCAATTTCA